ATTGATCCTGATGGCCTGGGATCTTTCAAAGTCAGATGTGATATGAACACAGACGGGGGTGGGTGGACCGTGTTCCAAAGAAGACAAGATGGAAGTCAAGATTTCTACCGTGGATGGTCAGACTATAAAGCTGGCTTTGGTGATCTTAACGGCGAGTTCTGGTTGGGCCTTGATAAAATACACCGTTTAACCAAATCTGGCCAAGATGTTTTAAGAGTAGACTTGACAGAATTTAATGGCGATGAGGCTTACGCAAAATATGGAAAGTTTAGCGTGGCTGATGAATCAGACAAATAAAAATTGACTGTTGGCAATTATTCAGGTAAACCACATCTACGCTCTGCCTTAATTTAGAATCGTGACACTCAAAGACACTTAAGTTAAGACAGGATGAAAATTAATCTCTTTGTCTTCAGTGAAAATTGAATATATTATATATCGTTATTTTCAGTATATCCCATAATACCGTGCGTCCGGGGTAGCAAATGTGTTTATTATGAAGGGTAACAAGTTTAAGATTAAAAAACATCAACTGGAATAAAGTTTCACTATAAATTTGTCAGAAGGAAAAAGGGTGGTTTTGCGGCAACGTTGGGATTGAAAGACTTAGCGGAAATAGTTATGAAAGAAATTAATGTTCTTAATAAAGGCTGAATTTTACGACGTGACTAGTCCTATAACGACTCTGGATGAAATAAAACCTCCTGTTACCCCATTATAATAGCATTAGTACAGGATAGAGTTTGTGTTAGTTACTCAGGTTAAATAGCGTTAAAATTATGGTATTAAAGTTTACAGTTATCACATTACATATTGCATAACATGAATGGAAACATGAGATTATTTAAGACAAAAACTAGGAAAGTTGCAGAAAAGGAAACTTAGGTTTTATGCGGATGCAATTCAAGAGCAGAGTCCTCACTACCACTCCACGGAAAACTTTGCTTGTGGGATAGGAAACACTTCACAATTGATTCACAACCATCACAGATATAACAAGCTACAACCAAAGCTATTCATAGCCATACTTCATATTTTCGGTATAACAGTGTTCTACAGTTCAAAAAGTCAACCAAATACATAAACTATTTTTTACCCTTCGTACCCGACACCTCGTCCTTGTTCGATCATTATTTCCACCAAGTGATCCATTTTAACTGCTCACCTTGATAATGAAGTGAGATGCAGAATAAAATCCTGAATTTCGCATATTATTTTTCATTGATTCGCCAGAACGAGGCTCTCCATAGACGTAGGCTAGAGAAGTTGGTGTTTTAGAGAAGTTTTTTTGCTTTAAAATGATATTCACTGAGGAAGTTTTTATTATTTTCTATAAAGGTAATGCAAGTGATTCTCTTACCTATCACAATCAAATGAAGTTCTCTACCAAGGATAGCGACAATGATGTTTTCGGCAGTAATTGTGCTACGAGCTACAAAGGAGCTTGGTGGTACAAGAGCTGTCATTATTCCAACCTCAATGGCCTGTACCTGGTGCAGGTAAGAGTAGTAGCAGCGGAATAGGCTGGTACTTTTGGAAACGTTCGTGGTATTCAATGAAAAAGACGACGATGAAAATTCGTCCAAACCAGTTTTAAAATGAAGAGGAGCTTTAGAAGAGACTAGTTTTGCGGCGAAGAACATCAAGTTTGATGTTTGTACTAAACTAATATGTTTTAGTAATAGTGGTATAGACGGGATATAATTAATTATATTATGCACGAAGGGGAGGTTACGGTTGCACGTGGTTGCCAAACGGAAACGTTGACACTTTGCACCATGAACAATACAAAATGCACAATAATGCACTACAGTTGTAGATTATATAACGAGTTGACTGACCAGTAGAATGTGATTGCAGATGTTGAATAGATTGTTAATGACTTAGTGCGCAGAATATGCATAGCAGAATCTAAACTTGTCGTTGTGCTGATTATATCTTATAACATATGAGCTGTTCCCCATGCATACGGCTCCGACGATCCTGCTCGTAAAAGGTTTGAAAGAGAACATAAAGGAGTTGAAACTGTTCATTGAAATCGCATTTGAGCTTAGCAATAGCTAAGCGAACCTAATTCCCTACTAAAAGATATGCTGACTCCTTTGCAGTGCCTTGACAAGACACATATTAATGATATTTAACAATCGCTGGCCAGGATAATCGCGGCCATTATGATTACTCGTTCGCGTAACATCAAAGCGACTGGGAACGAGTCAGATTATCCCACTCGCATTCCAGAATCACCACTTGAATAAATGCGTTTTGTTTTACGTTTGCGCAAATGTCTTAATGTGAATACGCACGAAAATATCTAAACGCTGAGACTTGCAGGAAACGCAAACGAGACTTTTAATTTGTCCTCCAAACTGGTTGCACAGAAGCACTTTGCTGTGAAAACTTGTCTCTTTGTTAACACGGTTGGTGTCGCTAAGATTTCGATTTTTGGGCCAGAGAAACGATTCCTCTAGGCTTTTGCAGTTGCCTATTTGTTTTGTGCCACTTAACTTGATTAAAGAACTTCACATTCCCAACTTTGGATAATTGGATCCGGCCATAGTAAAGAAGTTGCCCTTGCCCTTTGTCTCAACCAAGTACTAACACTTCTTAACGCTTCTTGGTATTCAACTGCTAGCAATTCTGATATTTCGTTTCTTTTCCGTTTGCGCGGCAGTTATTGCCTAAAATAGTTGTGCTGATCTTTATAAATCAGGGGTAAGGCAAGATGGGTTTATACCATCAATCCTGATGGCTTGGGATTGTTCCAAGTCAGATGTGATATGAGCAAAGACGGGGGAGGCTGGACCGTGTTTCAAAGAAGACAAGATGGAAGTCAAGATTTCTACCTTAGATGGTCAGACTATAAAGCAGGTTTTGGTGATTTCAAAGACAAGTTCTGGTTGGGTCTTGATAAAATACACCGTTTAACCAAATCTGGCCAAAATCTTTTAAGAGTTGATTTGATGGAATTTAATGGCGATGAAGCTTAGACAAAATATGGAAGCATTGTGTGGCTGATGAAGCAGAAAAATACAGATTGAATATTGCCAGATATTCAGGTAAACTACACGTTGTAGCTAAACGACATACATTCACTGCTGTCGACAGATTAATCCGTTCGCGGTGCTTAGACCAAGTCACAAAGACTGCATCTAAATCCCTTCAATTAAAATTATTCGTACATGAATTACATATTTTAGGTAACCATACCTTCATAGTAACACGAAAGGAAAATCCCAGCAGATAGTTTACTAATAAAGTTAAAATACTTTTTTCCTAAAATATTATTTATTAAATTACATTTTTCAAAAATATATATAATTTTTTAAAGGTAACGCAAGTGATTCTCTTGCTTTTCACAATGACACGCCGTTCACCACCAAGGATAGTGACAATGATATTTGCGGTCTTGCTAACTGTGCAGTTTTAAAGAAAGGAGCTTGGTGGTACAGAGATTGCTATCATTCTAATCTCAATGGTTTGTACGGTGTGAAGGATTTGAACACCGGAATTAGCTGGACTTCAACGGGCGTTCATGACTTTGGAAAGCGACAGAGATGAAACTTCGTCCAAACTACCGAACTAACTAGCTATAAAATGTCTATATAGTCAAAACTGTCCAGTCTTATTCTACTGTTAAAAGTCTTTTATTTTCTACGCGAGGTAGGAGATCTTTACAATAGTTAGCTAATGTTCATTAATGTTAGTTTCTGGCTTCGTTCTTCTTTTCTCCTCTCTTCTCTTCTCTTCAGATCTTCGTCCTTTCGGACCTCGTTGTTTTTTGTTCTATAGTCTTGGTTGTCTGTTCTGTCAGGTTGAGCTTCCTAACGTTTCACATGCTTTTTACTCCGCTAGTCCACTCCGCTAGTCCACTCAAGGTTGGGGTGTTGTGCACGCCCTTTTATAGAAACGGTTGAGGGAAACTTGCAGACGTCATCAACCAGAGTGGGCTGATCTTTATCCAACCAATCAGCGCTGTTAGTTAGAAATGTGGGTTGGTTTTGGAAGCTCGTTCCAGCTCTCATATCTTGTTTGTTTAAGGCGTTGTCGCACTAGTCGAGTTGGTCTTCTGCTCAATCGATCAATACCTAAAAATGTTCACAACTTAAAATGTTTATCATCAACAACTAGTAAAATTTACAAACAATACGTCTGTGAACAATATCTTTCAACTTAAACTATTTTCACTCTTATTTTATCGAATTGAACTTTTGATGACGTAATCTATTACATGCTTGACCGAGCAACATTTTTAACACAATTGATTGACATAAGAACTTGAATGGCCTACAGCACGCACATTTTTTTAAAGAATGCGACCATTAAGATAAGTGACGACTTAAAACTGTTTATCCAGGTATTAGTTCTGAGAGGATTATAAATATTTTCACCTTATTACTTATTTAATCCCACGATATGTCATACATGAAAGGGAAAGGCGATTAATGTTTGCTAATGGCCGAAAATTATATTTACTCAGGCGTCTTGTGGCAAAAATCATTCACTAATCCCTGTCATGCTATTGGTATTCCTATTTTTACAGCTATTTTCATATGCGTATCTCTAAACTAAATAAAGCCTTGCGTAACACTACGATATTCATCACTTTCATTATAGTTTAAATTCGAATAAAGCAAACTCACATGCAAAACAGATTTGCTGAGAATTGTTGCATTTTATTTGTAAATTGGTATTCAACTGCACTCCTCTTGTACACAGCACGTTTTCTCGCTAGCATGGTCAACCAGTCCTTTTACCATCCGACATTTTCAAAAAAATATTAGCCAAAACATGCGCCAATAGACAAAGACATCTTGATACATGATAACGATGATCCATAGATTTAAACGCATTTAGCAAAGCAATGTTTTTATACGCATTTAAAAAAAACAGGACGTGCGATATTGCATGCACGATATAGACTATAATGATTTCCTTGTTTGGCTAATACTTAAAAAACGACATGCCGGAAACGCAAACTAGATATTAATAGTGAACGCAAGCCAAGCCCAAGGCAGAGCGATGTTCATTTCTCCTGTGCGCACAGCTCTTGTATAAATTGACCAGAGCTTGACTCTGTTCTCAGTCAGATAGAGTTAGTCGAGTTGGTTTCTACTCAGTGGATGCGGATCAGAATTGAGAATTTCAAGACCTAACAATGTTGAGAATTGCTTTGGTGGTGATTCTGTTCCAGGTTTTTCTGCAATCTGTTATTACAGAAGCACTTTGCTGTGATATCAGATCTGATATAAAAAATCGTACCCTCGCTTACAACTTATTGTGTTCAAAACAAGATCAAAAGCTTGGGTCATGCTGTCGTGTCATAGAACAGGAAATTCGCAGACAGAAATTGGCGCTCAAAATATTGTGTCTAAACAACGGTAACGTTGCGATTTTGTTTAGTTATGCTATGATTTCAAGATCAGTCGGACTTATTTAAATGAAATTAACATATAGAAACCAACCATTGCAAGACAAACCCTTGCGACTTCAATGCTGTTTGTGTCGGTCACTGTGACCACTACACATGCACCTGTAAACCTGGTTATACTGGTCCAGGAACCAATTGTACAAGTAAGAGAAAAAAACAAACTTTCATGTTCTGTTACGATGATTTTGTTAATGGCTAAAACAACTTATAACATTTGCTGTATTATTTCAGAGATCAACTATTGCTCGTCCAATCCTTGCGATGTCAACGCTGTTTGTGTCAGTAACACTTACAACTACACATGCACTTGTAAACCTGGTTATACTGGTCCAGGAACCTATTGTATAGGTGTGTAAAACTTGACAACTTTCTCTTATAAAAAAGCCGGAAAATCTACAGCAGGATGTCATAATTATTTTTTACAATTGTAAAAACATTAGTTCGCTAGTTTTCGCTTTTGTTGCGTTCCGGGGGAAAAATAAAAACTATGAACAGCATGGCTTGAATCAAAGAAATCCGCCTAGGATATCGCTGCGAAAGGATATGTCGTTGGCATTTCCCGCCATCAAATAGCTAAATTAACACTTTGACGTTTCGTTATCGAATTGCTATTCTGATATTTTCGCAACATTTTTCCGTTTCCACAGTTATTGCCGAAAATAGTTGTGCTGATCTTATAAATCAGGAGTGAGACAAGATGGTGTTTATACAATCAACCCTGATGGCCTGGGATTTTTCAAAGTCAGATGTGATATGCGCAAAGACGGGGTGGCTGGACCGTGTTCCAAAGAAGACAAGATGGCAGTCAAGATTTCTACCTAGGATGGTCAGACTATAAAGCTGGCTTTGGTGATCTTAACGGCGAGTTCTGGTTGGGACTTGATAAAATACATCGTTTAACCAAATCTGGTCAAAATGTTTTAAGAGTTAATTTGATGGATTTCGATGGCGCTGAACGTTACGCTAAATATGGAACATTTAGTGTGGCTGATGAATCAGACAAATACAGATTGAATGTTGGCAATTATACAGGTAAACCACGTGCACGCTCTGTCTAAACTTAGATTCTCAGCTGTTGAACTTATCCATACATACACGCGACTCTCAGAGACGGGATGCATCTCTCTATTTTCAGATAAAATTGAATAGATAATTCTCTATTTCCCATAATACCGTGCGTCCGGGGTAGCATATGTTCTTATTATGAAGTGTAGCATGTTTGAGATAAAAACATCAACTACAATAATATATCATAACTTCGTCAGGAGGAAAACAGTGGGTTTGCAGCAACGTGAGGAATTGAAAGTTTCGGTGAAATTTTTTTTTAGTAAGGCTGAATTTTACGCCGCGACTATAGTCCTTCAACGATTCTGGATAAAATAAAACCTCCTGTGACCCCATTACATTAACATAATTATTCCAGTTAAATAGCGCTAAAAATTTTGATTGGTATTAAAGATTACAGTTATAGCATTAGATATTAAGTTAAAATAACATTAAATACTTTGTGGGCGGAACATAGATGGAAACATGAAATTATTTAAGACAAAACTAGTAAAGTTGCGGAAAACTGGAAACTTAGGTTCTATGCGGATGCAATTCAAGAGCAGTGTCCTCACTACCACTCCACGGAAAACTTTGCTGGTGGGATAGGAAACACTTCACAATTGATTCACAGTCATCACAAGCTACAACCAAAGCTATTCATAGTCAGTACGTTATATACTTTCGGTGTAACAGTGTTCTACAGTTCAAAAAGTTAAACTGAAAATATGAACTCGTTACTCTAAACTATTTTCTACCCTTCGGCCTTCGCATCCGACCCACCGTCCTTGCTCGACTTTAATAAAGATTATTTCCATTCATTTAAATCAGAATAAATCCTGAATTTTTTCGCAGGGCGTACTAGAATTAACAATGACGTTCTTAGAAAAGTTTAATATATTATTTCATTATTTTTAAAAAGGTAACGCAGGTGATTCTCTTGATTCTCACAATCAAATGAAGTTCTCAACCAAGGATAATGACAATGATTTACTAGTAGTAATTGTGCTACGAGATGGAAAGGAGCTTGGTGGTACAACAGCTGTCATGATTCCAACCTCAATGGCCTGTACCTGGGTGCAGGTCAGAGTAGTCACACCGGAATAAAATGGCATATGTGGCAGTTTCATTCAATGAAAAAGACGACCATGAAAATTCGTCCAAACCAGTTTTAAAATAAAGAGGAGCTTTAGGAGAGACTTATTTACGGCGAAGAACATCAAGTTTAATGTTTCAACCCAACTATAATACGCGTACGTTCCAGTAATAGTATTAGACGGGATTAGACGGGATATAATTAATTATTGTGCACGAAGGGGAGGTTACGGTTGCACGTGGTTGCCAAACCGAAACGTTGCCACTTTCCACAATGAACAATACAAAATGCACAATAATGCACTACAGTTGTAGATTATATAACGAGTTGACTGACTAGTAGAATGAGATTGCGAGATTGAATAGATGAATTGGTACGCAGAATATAAATGGCAGAATCTAAACTTGTCGTTGTGCTGATTATATCTTATAACATATGAGCTGTTCCCATACGACTTCGACGATCCTGCTCGTAAAGGTTTGAAAGACAACATAAAAAGAGTCGTTTAACAATAGTTAATGAGGCCTTAATGAACTGAAAGATGAATTACTCGTTTGCAACTGTTTTTGAACTTCCATTTGAACTATATCAGAATGCTCAGCAATAGCTATAAGCAAACCTATACTAATTTCCTATAGCAAGTATGCTGACTTCTTCGCAGTCCCTAATAAGACGCATATTGATGATATTTAAAATCCCTAATGTTTACACTCGGGCTATTCTAGCAAAAAAATTTTCCAAAAAATTTCCATTTAAACGAGACTCAAATTATTCCAATCACATCCAGAATTACCACTACAATTTAGGTATTACAATCCAGAATTGCAGTTTGAATAATGACTTTGTTTTACTTGTACAAAATGTCTTCGTTTATCCCAAAGTAAATAACCGGAAGCCCGCTAGAAATGTTTAAATGCTGACGTTGAAGGGAAGCTCGAAGCAATGTTTCTATACGCGTTTAGGAAAAACAGGACGTGCAATATAGTGAATGCGCGATAGACTATAATGATTTCCTTGTTTGCCTCATACTTAAAAAACGACATGCCGGAAACGCAAACTAGACATTAATAGTGAACGCAAGCCAAGGAAGAGCGAAGTTCATTTCCCCTGTGCACACAGCTCTTGTATAAATTGACCAGAGCTTGACTCTGTTTTCAATTAGATCGAGTCAGTCGAATTGGTTTCTACTCAGTGGACGGATAATTGAACGGAGAACTTCAAGACCTAACAATGTTGAGAATTGCTCTGGTGGTGATTCTGTTCCAAGTTGTTCTGCAAACTGCTTGCACCGAAGCACTTTGCTGTGATGATATCAGATCTGATATAAAAAATCGTACCCTCGCTTACAACTTATTGTGTTCAAAACACGATCCACAGCTTGGATCATGCTGCCGTGTCATAGAACGGAACATTCGCAAGCATAAACTGGCGCTCAGAATACTGTGTCCAAACAACGGTAACGTTGCGATCTTGTTTAGTTTTGCTACGATTTGAATTCATTTTAAAGATCAGCCGGACTTATTCAAATTAAATTAACATATAGAAACCGACCATTGCAAGTCAAATCCGTGCGGCCCTAATGCTGTTTGTGTCAGTAACTCTAACCACTACACATGCACCTGTAAACCTGGTTATACTGGTCCGGGAACCAACTGTACAAGTAAGAGAAAATAACAAACTTTCATGTTCTGTTAGTTGTTACGATTTCCAAGATGTTTCTGTTAGTGTCTAAAACAACTAAAATAACATTGTTGTGTTATACCAGAGATCGACTCTTGCTCGTCCAATCCTTGCGGCTTCAATGCTACATGCACCAGCCATTCAACTTACTACACATGCACCTGTAAACCTGGTTATACTGGTCCAGGAACGAATTGTACAAGTAAGAGAAAATAACAAACTTTCGTATTCTGTTACGATGATTTTGTTAATGTCTACAACATCTCATAACATTTGTTGTATTGTTTCAGAGATCAACTATTGCTCGTCCAATCCTTGCGATGTCAACGCTGTTTGTGTCAACACTTACAACTACACATGCACCTGTAAACCTGGTATATGGTCCAGGAACCCATTGTAAAGGTGTGTAAAACTGACAACTTTCTCTTATAGACAAGAAAATCTACAGGCAGGATGTCATAATTATTATTCACAATTTTGCAGTAGTTTTCGCTTTTGTTGCGTTCCGGTGGAAAAATAAACACTATAAGAAGCATGGCTTGAATCAAACTCGCCTGGTATATAGAAAAGATTATTATTTCTGATATTTCGTAAACTTTTTCCGTTTGCGCAGTTATTTCCGGAAAAAGTTGTGCTGATCTCTATAAATTAGGGGTGAGGCAAGATGGTGTTTATACCATCAATCCTGATGGCCTGGGATCGTTCAAAGTCAGTTGTGATATGAGCAAGACGGGGGGCTGGACCGTGTTCCAAAGAAGACAAGATGGAAGTCAAGATTTCTACGTTGGATGGTCCGACTATAAAGCAGGCTTTGGTGATCTTAACGGCGAGTTCTGGCTGGGTCTTGATAAAATACATCGTTTAACGAAATCTGGCCAGAATGTTCTAAGAGTTGATTTGATGGATTTCAGGGTGCTAAACGTCACGCTAAATATGGCACATTTAGTGTGGCTGATGAATCAGACAAATACAGATTGACTATTGGAAGTTATCGGTCAGGTAAACCACATTAATGCAGATAGATTTTGTGGTAGATGCATTTAGATTAAATAGCGTATGTTATGGTATTAAAGATTACATAGAGTTATGGCACTAGATATTAAGATATAATAACATTAGATACATTTTTTGCTTTAAAATGTCATTTACAGAGAAGTTTACTATATTCTTGAAAGGTTACGCAGGTGATTCCCTTGATTATCACAATCAAATGCAGTTCACTACCAAGGATAATGACAATGATGCTTGGAGTCGTAATTGTGCTTCGTACCACAAAGGAGCTTGGTGGTACAAGAACTGTTTTCGATCCAACCTCAATGGCCTGTACGTGGATGCAGGTCAGATTAATAGCGAAGGAATAAACTGGTACCGTTGGAAACTTTCATACTACTCTTTTAAAAAGTCGGAGATGAAAATTCGTCCAACTGTTTAGTTTCAAAATAAAGACGAGGTTTAGGAGAGACATAAACATACTTACGTCGAAGAACATCGAGGATTATTTCTGAATCGTTAACCGAACAATGTAAATTTTGATTTCAGTCAGCAAAACATGCCGGCTTCATCGCTTCGTCAAAACTATAATCATGTTTTAGAAATAGTTAACGAGGATAGAATTAACTGAAAGATTAAATTACACGTTTAAAAATGTTTATTGAAATTGCATTTAAGCTATATCAGAATGCTCAGCAATATTTCTAAGCGAACCCAATTCCCAGGTTTGCTGATTCTTTCGAAGTCGATCCCTTGACTAAACACATATTAATCAAGACTTGTTATACAGTATAGGTGCTGTATATTCTAAATGTGATTGGTTCATTCGTAGTCACATGACTTTAAATGAAAGCAATGTTTCCCGCCAGGGAAACAAGTGAAAAATTGTTCCCCGCATATTGTCATAAAGAAAAAGCAAC